TTATGTAGATCTAGAATCTTTATATACCCATTCTTGCCCCATAAACTACCTAATTTTTTGTTCATATAGTTAAAATTAATTGATTTTTCAAGCACTATAGTTCATAATTCTCTAAGGGAACCCTAAGTTTTGGACATAGGACTTGGTTACCAATAGGACTTATTACAGGTTCTTCATTTTTATAGGGGATATTAAACTCTTCCATGACCAATTTTATCATATCGTCATCCTCAAGAAGCATATTACAATCCCTAGACTCTAGAACCTTATCTTTATACGAGATAAAAGATTGAGGATTAAGGTTAGAAGACACCTGAATAGCGTGCATTTCCTCAAGCCCTATGTCATGCATTTTCTCTTGAACCTCCTTTGTCACTGCCTTTGCTTCCAACTTTACTTTCTTCTTGCTCTGGTCCATCAAATCTTGGTCTTCCACTGTTCTTTTCTCTGATTCAATGTTCTTTATCGTTAATCGATTTAGTGAAAGTCTTCTTGAGAAAGAAAACCCCTAATCTTAAGTATTAGTTTGTTGCGTCGTCAATAGCGATGCCTTGCAAAAGAAGAGAGCTAGGGAATGGAACCCTAGTTGAGCGCAATCGATCAATTGAAAGTTTTGTAACTTGTTTTTTTTAAATCAAATAACCTAACCTATCAAATATCAATCATTATTGTACTTGTTGGTTAAATCAAGTTTAATACTTCGCCAAAGATATCTTCTTTTAGCCCTTAGCAGTTTAGTTAGCACTACCAAAGGTTACAATAAAAAAGAGCTCATACATGCAATTATAGTAATTTGAAAGACCAACCACATCTTATTAATATCTAATTTTTTCATACATATTTCTGTCTTTTCAAATTTAAATTAAAATCTTTTTTGTTAATAATATTTTATTAAACCTATCTATTTAAGTTAAGAAAAACGATGTGAGTCTGCTTTTACATTTTTTTATATCTGCTGATTACTTTTTTTTTAATTATCTAAATAAATAATTTTTGTTATAGATATTTGAAGAACATATTCTAATATATATCGATCTTAAGGATATCTAACAACTAATTTTACAATTTAGTGATATATTTTGTGTGTGAAAATGTAAATGGGTAAATGATGGGATTTTGTTGAATTTGTTGATAGATTCTCTTTTAGAATCCCTTATCATAAATATTTCTATATATAAAAGACATTTTGTTCATACAACTTTTCTCTAAACTTCAAAATTACTATGCATCCCATTATTTCTAAATATGGTTCTTTTAAAAAAAAATGAAAACATGGTAAGGATGTGAAGTGTATAATTTATGTATATTATATATTATAGATTTTCTTTAAATCTTCATTTTGGATTAAAAAAATAAATAAATACACGATGAAATATGATAAAAATGCTTATTATCAATAGGTGTGTTTAAGAGTTCTCTTAACGAGGATTATATATTCATAAGGAAGAAATGTTTTTCATGAAACAAAATTAACATTTACATTTATAGAATTTAATTTTTTGGTGAATACTTTTAAGTTAATACAATTACATGTCAATATTTTAATATTTAAATTATTAAATAAATATATACTTATACACAAGAAATGACATGAAATTTTATTATTATCTTAATCAAATGGATAAATTTTATTGTCACTTCGGGTTGAAAATTTTACATAAAAGAATTATATCAATTTCTATAATATATATATATATATATATATATATATAAGATATAAATAAATCAAATTTTTATCGTGAGAAGGATTATGGATTAAAAAGTATCAGGATACCTTATAATTTTTTTAATATTTTATAGAAAATAATTATTTTAAAAAAATAATTTTAATATTTTTATTATATACATATATATGTGCATTTTTAATATAAAAAAAATTAAACAAGTATATTTTTAAAAAAAAATCTATAAATTTTTTGAGAAAAGAATATTTTAAATATTTTTATCATTTTATAAAATATATTTTGAATTTTTGAATTTTAATTTCTTACCTAAAAATAAATTTTAATATTATATGCACGTAAAATATTTAGTCTCATATATGTGTGTGTGTGTATATATATATATATATATATATATATATATAAAGTTTAAATATAAATATTTTTAAAAATTATATTAATTTTGATTAAAAAAAAGTAACTTTTTATTTAATTATATTTTTTTATTTTTTTTTTTGTTTATCACACATTAAAAGATATATATAATATTATGTTTTATTATTTATGATGTACTTAAAACATAAGATAAGATGTACCATTTTCTTACCTTTATCCATTTTTATATATCTTTTTTTATCCTACCTTTATCCATCATTTTATTTTATCTTTTCTCATCCTATTTCGTATTCATCAAACAGACCCTAAATAAAGATGTATTAAAATTTTACCAAATGGATAAAAATTTATGTAATAAAAATGTGTATTTGATTGTTAGAATATTAATCAAGTAAAGAAGGATTACCAACACATAAATAACCTATAGCGTCAACTAAGAATGTAACACAAATATTATTTTGAATAAATAATAAAGCAAGTTTAGAGTCACCCATAGATAATGTTTCTAAGACCAATCCTCAAAGCTAGATTAAGGCCTTGTATTATAGCAAGTAATTCAACATACATAATATTTATTATTATACCTCCATATTCATCACTACTCCAATCTCCAAGAGAACTACCATAATATACTTTGTACTTTTGGTGGCTTCCAAGAAATAAACTACTACACGTTTTAAATTATTGGGGTGACAAAATATCTTGGTGAATAGTGTTGATATGATTTAGAACTTCTCGTTCTTTCCCAATAATATAAAAAAATAACTCCACGATCCAACATGCAGAAGCGAAAAGGGAACCATGAAGGTCCATAAGAAAGAGTGGTCCTTAGAAAAACTAAGTAGCTCCCAAATCAGAGCAATACCTAATGCAATCCACTCATCAATCGAGAACTTGTGACAAGAAAAATAATAAGAAACATAACAATAAACAGAAAAGAAACGTTATTGGGAAGGCCAAAAAAGTGTTTGATACCTTTTAGAAGTTTGAGACTTCAAACCCAACCCCTTTTTTTATGTGATGTTCAATAGGAGCAAGTGAGCTACTCATAACCACCCATAACTAAATAAAACTCATAATTAGATGTTTCTTAGATTAAGACATCCTTAGAGTCATCATCTAACTCCTCATCTTATATAGAAAGATTCTTAAAATGCAATCTCTATCTCTATAAATGTCTTGCACTTGAAGATTGATGGCATTAATGTGCATGAAAGAGACCAAGTTACATGTACATTTATCATCTATCCGTCTAGCATACTATACTACAATGATATATCACTCATTCCCAATAAAAAATCAAAGCTCTTTTAAAATGAGATGCAACTTTAATGATAGAAATATATACGACTATACGTCACATTAAAATAAAAAATTTATATAAAAGTATATTAGCATAAATTATATATTAGTAAATAAATATTAATTCAAAATTGTTATATATATTTTGGATTTATTTTAATATTATATCCTATCGTTTAATTTCTTTTCTTTTTCAATAATGAATTTTGAATTATAATTTTTATAAATATTTATGTTAAAATATTATTATTATTAATTTATGCTTATCTATATCATGATTATTAATTTATGTAGACCATAATTTAAGGAGGAAAAATAAAAAATTTATTATCACATAAATAAACTGATTTATATAAGAATGTTTCACTTGTTTGACTATTTTTAATTTATATTAACATAAATAATATTAACCCTAAACAAATTTTATTTATAAATAAAACAATTTTAGGATAAATTAAATGATAAAAAAAATATTTTTATATTCTTTTATTAAACAATTTATTCATTATACATTTATACTTTTATGATATAAATATACTTTTATGTTATTCGGGTCATCATGTTAATTATAGACAAATCATAAAGCCACACTCGAAGACTCATTTCATACCGAGAAAATTTATAAATTTGTTCTTCTAAATAAATGTATCAACAAATCACTCTTCTAAAAGGTGTTTTTATTATTCCTCTAAATATTAGTATGTAATTATATAAGTTATTCAAAAATTATCACCAAAATATTGCTTCAAATATACAAAATAATCATTACATTTATCTTTTAATGTCACTACTTTAATTCTCTGTAGCAACAGATATAATAATATTTTCAGTCTTTTAGAGGAATAATGTTGCACATGCCAATATTTAAAAGGATAATATGATAGCTATCACAAAAAACAGAGGGATTAATATTATACTAAATTTAATTGAAATACATTAAAAAAATTATATTATCGTCTAATTTTAAAATACTTTTTTTTTTCAAGACCATAGACAGCTGTAACAACCCCTTCTCCTTGCTTAGTGATTTTTAAATACTATTTTGGCAAACTATGTTGATTTTTATAATATTTACTTAAAAAGCATATTGACAGTAAATCTTTATAAAGACCTAACATTGTTATGCAATTCTTTTAACGGGTAACAACCTTTTACCTCTGATATTGAAGTGTTACACACTTCGCAGAGTTCATGACCCATTAAAAATTGCACATGCCTTTGGTTGGTGAGTGGTTGTCACAGCCTGGGCAACAGGATACAAATGAGACACAATTATTGCTTTTAAGGTCCCAGAAAAGAAATTTTGAAACAGCAGCACCCTTTGGAATTTATGGAAGAACAATTTGATTCCACTTCTGGGCTTCGCAATAATTCTCCTCATTCTGAATCACAAAAAATTGGACTTTTTCCCAAAGGGTGAAAGTGCAGCATGCACCAAGCATAGCCCCCCCCCCCCCAATATATGTTAACACACGGGGTAAGGCATCAAGAAGAAAATGATCTGTCAAAGCCAACTTATTCTGAATTTCATTAAAACTTCTACTTACCTAGTTCCTTGAATTACAGACTTAAGAAAGAAAGTTGCTTCTTTTACACCATTTGCAAATCGTTGGTTTGTTAGAGCTACTTTCAATCTTTCTCCTAGACACATCTTCCACCAAAGCCTGCATTTCTGAATAGTGCTTGTTTTATCTCTTCAGGGCAAATACAGTTTCTCTGTGCTGCTACCTATGACCACGAAAAGAGTGAGTTTATGAAGATCAAATATGCGTAGTTTCAGGCATGTAAAAAAGATTGAAACTACTAGAATAGGAAACAAACCTCAGAACAAGATGCTTCCATTGCAAAGTCATTGAAGCTACTTATAACACATTGCTGAATCTCAAGGCCTAATGCTTCTAAGGTATTCACTGTTGATAGTAACAATCCAGGTTTTGTTGCACAGCAGATGCTAATCCTCGTGTCCTTGTCTCTCCTCTCAACATCAAACTGCAAATACATTTAAGATATGTTTGGATTATGCTATAAATTTCATTATCAACCTTATTGAATTAAGTTAAAAAGATTTATTTTAATAAATTATGTCAAAAAGCTTAGTAAAATAAAAAGAGCTTATAAAAATTATTAACATTTTATAAACTTCTCATAAGTTCTTCCAAACCCCAATTAGTTACATGCATTTATTTGGAAAATGGGTGTGTCATGTGGTGCTTTAATTTAAGTGGGGTTTCAGAGGAACTAGTAGAATACCTTGGGGGAATTTCTAACTATTGCTTCATTCGGCTTAAGTTGTTCTTTTGAAATGTCAAAGAGACTAATCTGACTTGAGCCCTCTGCCCCTTCTTCCTCTTGCAACTTGCCAACCCTTTCCAGAAGCTCTTTCATGTAGTCTATGGTGTCTCCAAGAATAGAGGTCCTGTCCATCTATTGAAGTTGATATTTCTCAAAGTGTGTCACACACCAAATCAAGAAAAGCAAATAAATGAGTAAAAGGGGTAACTATGGGTTATGGATTTAAGGCCAACTTGAGAAATCTAATTTCATTTCTATTGATTGAGACATTTATTTACTATCTTAACAAGGACATGACAGGGTTAGAAAAAAAAAGGCAAACTTTTTTTGGGAATCACCTTGCTGATCTTTGGGACTATTGACCTTAGCATGGAAAGACGGTCATTAAGACGCTTTCTTCTCCTTCTTTCAGCCATAAGATTCTTTGAAGGTTGCCCTTCTACCTTCTTGGATTTGGGTTTTCTCTCTCCATCATCACATATGCCAATGTTGAAGACTTGAACATCTGTGCCTTGTTGTTGCTCCTCAACTTTGCAGACACTCTTCCGTTCATCCAAGCTCTTGTCATCACTCCTTACAAAGCCAATCTCTTCATCCTTCACTAATGGGTTATCTTGGTGTAGTGGAAGTGGGGGTGGTGGGTCATTATCAACATTCCTGGTGTATGATGTGTGAAGTTCTGGCATTATTGTGAACCCATCATCATGACCAAATGGGTATGCAGCTGCTGCTTCATTACTGTAAGGGCAATCAAATCTGGGGTCTATTGGTGCTGAAAATGCAGCAAATGGGATGGTTGAAGTGGCCAAAGATGGGTTCTCAATAAAAGAGTCAAAGCTCCAACAACCACTAGGGAATAGGTCACTCAACCCTGTGGACAAAGCATTCCATGTGTCTCTTCTTGGAGCTACTAGCTCCTCTAGAAAACCAAGTTGAGAAAGCTCCATCTTTCTCTCTCCCTCTCTCTTACCTCTCTCCCTCTGCCTCTCCCTCTCCCTTCTCTGGTCCAGAAGGGAAGTGAACTGTGACACTGTGACCTATAAGCTAACTAAGAGACTTTCACAACTCAAAAAGGTGTTTAAATAATAGGTCAGACTTGACACATTATTTTCTTATTTTTTCCGTCTATTTATAGAAATTTAAAACTATAATCAATATTCTAATTCGTAAAAATATTAAATAATTTATATTTTTTATTTCTTATATTAATATTTTTAAAAGATATGTCAATTAATTATTAAGGGTGTATATTTAAAAGTATTTAATTATTCGTTGATTTTATAAAGTAAAAATTAAAATGAAAAAGATATTGAGTAAAATATCAAATAAGTAAAATTTACACATGATTTGTTGAGTATTGTTGGTCCCACCTCCAGTAGGATAAATATTTCATATTACTCTGAAAGGACTAATATGTATAAATTTTGTTCTTAAAATATTGTGCATATAAAATTTATTTTTAGCAAAACTAGTCATTCTCTATCAATATAGTTATTTATAAACTACTTAACAAATCAGTTACTAATATTATCAGTTTAATGACATTTAGTCCGTGAATTTGATCAAGTTCACATTAAAAAAAATTAATTTGTCATGATATTGATAAATTCAATGACTAAATAATATATGTTTAAATCTTTAAGGGCAAAGAATGTGTTTGAAAGAGCTCAAGAGTTTTATAATTTTTTAATTTATTTTCATATAACTTATCAAAATAAATTTATTGAGATAATCTACTTTATAATATAAATAATTTCTGTAACAAAATTTATTGGATAAGATTTAATTAAACTATATCCAATCGTGTTCTTAATTGACACAAGATACTGCTTTTTGGAGTGAAATTGGGTATAAATGAATCTCATAGTTTTAGTAGAATTCACATTATTTTCACTAAATAACAATGACAAAAACTATTTTAAAAAGAGACCGTTTGGAAAAATATTACTAACATCTAGCAAAAATTTATAGTAGCCATTATAGCCAATATCCACATTTATATATATAACAAATATACTTACATGATTATTTATTTGTTACATTTTATAATTAAAATTTAGAAAATTTTAATACCCATTTAGTTTAAAGTTCAATAAAATTGATTCGAAATATGAGTATAACATTGATTTACATTATCAATGTATTTTAGTTAAATTATTTATTAAATTAAAGTTTGTGTCAAATTATCAACAGAATTTGTATAGGTTTTGTTTTCAGCAAATGTTAATGACAAGTAATTCGAAAATATTGTTATAAAATTGAAATATCTCAAACTTATATTAAAATTAAAGTTACATCAAAATTAAAATGCCAATTTCAATCAAGGTGTCGGTAAACTTATCCTTAAATAATAGTTTAATAAGTAGCACAAAAGAAAATAATAGTTTAATATGAGACATCAAACGTACTATCATTACAGAATGTATTACAGTGAAAAGTGCAGTGTAATAGCCCCTAGAGAATAGAGATTGAAACGGATTCTCATTATCATCTCTCTTTCGCACTCTCAACTCTGAAGCTGTGTTAACGTTCTTTCCACCAAAATAATTACTTTGACATAATAATTTAATTCCCTGTTCTTTCAAAATTCTGTCTGCCGAAAATTTATGGAATCAGCGTCATACGTTGTCAGCTTCTTCGGCCACGTTCTTGTTCTCAGACATTTGAACGCTGATCTTGAACCAGTGAGATCAGATTGGAATTTTTTTTTTAATTTAATCGCAGCAAATAAAAAATTAATATAAAAGTATAAAAATAAATTAGCATAAAATATTATATTACATATTTTATAATAAATTATAATAAATACTTAAATAATCATAAAATTATATACAAGTATTATGTATGAGTGTTTATTTATTTAAAGAATAAATTTTTAGAAGACATAAAAAAATAGTTTTCTTACGTCGACTGGTTCTAACCGGTTTTTGCACTGGTGCTTTCTTTATTTTGACCAGTTTTGACCGGTTCTTGATTATTTTTTTACTTTGTTGATTTTCTGAACTGACTAAATTAGTTGACCGGTTACTTGTTTAATTGATCGAATTGGCCGGTTCGACCCAATTTTAATAACTATAGATATTATTGATAAAATGCAGGTAACATATTTTATGCACATGTTTTTTTATATTAGAATAAATTTGTAATATTTTAAAACAGAATATATAACGATAAAACAATCAGACTCTTGGAGGTTGTCTAGGAACGGTGGTTTTGGAGGGGATAGGGGCATAATTTTATATTTTAAATTAATATATTTTAAATTAATATTTTTTTAAAAAATAAAAGATATAAATTAATATATAAACAAAAATTTAATATATTAATAATATATTTGTTATTATAAATAATATATAATTTTTTTAATTTAAAATTAAAATATATGCTCTCTTCTTCCTTTTCTTCCAAAATTCTTCTCTCAAATAATCTCATAAATTCCAGTAAAAAAAAAAAAGTAGGTGGGTGAAGGAAAAAAAAAAGTATATGATGAATTTAAGTATAATTTCACAAAATTTAGTTAAATTTTATGACTTTATTCAATATTTTAATTTTTTTTTTATTTATGTTGGTTGAGTTATGAATACTTCTCTCTAGGATGAAAATAGGTCACACTGCCTAATCAAAAACTTATAGTGTGACTTATTTAGGGCTTAACTTAACTTGACTCCTTTATTAAAAAGGTGAAGTTTAAATTTTTTAAAAGACTTATTTAAATAAAGAGGTAAGATTTAAGTTTTTAAAAAAAATTTAGACTTATTGAGCCGGTCTAATTAAATGATTATATTATTTTATAATTTATATTTATTTATTTATAAAAATTTAATATAAATATAATTGTTTAAAAAATTATCTATATATATATATATAATGTATAACATAATTTAATATTTATAATAATAATATAATAATTAAAATTATACTAATAAAATACTAATTAAAAATTATCATAAAAAAATATCAATTAAAATTTTGTATATTTTTTACTAAACATAATATTTAAATATAATTATTTATTATATATTTTTTATTTTATTAATAGTAGATCTTTCGGCCTGTTAATCCGTTAGTTATTAGTTCATTAATTTATAGGCTTATTAAATTTAAATTGTTAATATTATTTAAATATATTAATATTAAATAAGTTATTGAGTTAGGTTAGGTTTCTAAAAGGTTAGATCAAACTTAAAAATTTGACTTATACTAAGCTGTTAGTCCATTGTTTATTAATAATTTAATATTAAATTATCTTTCATTTATAAAATATTAAAATAACTAATATGAGTTTATATTAATAATATTATATATTATACTAACATTCCTGTTAACTAGAGAATTTTTAATTTTTTTTATTCTAAGTCTAGCTCTTAATTTTAAAATTGCTTTAAAAGATTAACAAAAAAATATTGACAACATAATCTTCAATCTCTAAATATTTTAACTTTTTTTTTATCATCTCTTAATTTTTTTTATAGGCACAATATCATTTTTTTTACTTTATTTTTCTTCTTTATCACTCATTTCATTTCCATTACTTCGTACTTTTTTAGAAAATTTAATAACTCTTATGTGCCATTTTTTATTCCAATGACTTCAATTTCTTAAGTGTTATTATTCATCTCCTTTATTTTAAGGGTCTTGTTCATCATATTTAATATCTCATTTTACCATTGTATTATTTTCATTTGTTGAATTGTATAATTTGTAATTCTTTGAGTGTGCACATCGTTACGAATAAATTCATATGTTAAACTTCAACTATCAAACTTAGATCTTTCTTAATCAAATACATGAACATATCTAATGCTCCTAAAGACTCTAAAATGATTAACTCTTTGCTTCATTCTGACCATCAATAAACACATGCACTAAACTCCAATCATCAAGCCACATATGCCTCAAAATTTTGCTTCCAAGTCTTGATACTAAAATATACTCAATGAAGTATAAAAAGGAAAAATTATCAAAAGAAGTAGAATTAAATTGACCTCACATGTTAGTGTCTTTATGCTAAAAATAGGATATTACACATTAATATTAAATACTGTAAGAGTCCACTAAAATCTTCTAAAGTGTTTTTAGAATTAAATACTGTAACAAGTTATCATTTATTTTTAATTTTATAATCTTACATACTTTAAACTTGGTTTTAGTTTAGAATAAGAAAATATATAAACTATATTTTTATCTTTTTTAAATATTCTATCTTACTTATAAGATGATATTGTAATTTGTTTGAAATGTTTCACTAGTTATGAATTGTGAATTAATATTTTGACAGGTGCTTGATAATTGTAGAAGAGTTGAAAAAAAAATGTGCAAAATTTTTTATAAAAAGACTACAAGAACAATTTAGATTGCAAAATCTCCTTTTAAGTTACAATAAAATTTGCAAGTTAATGATAGGATATTTAATTTTTATATGATATACTGTTGAAATAATAAAAATATCACTAAGTTGTAGATGAGAAATAATATATGGTGCCGCAAATAGGTCTTTGAATGCTTGGATCTTATTCAAAATTATGATCTTCTGATTTGAAAGCCAAAACCAAGTAAAATAAGAATAATACATTTACAATGGTTCCTTAATTAAAACAATTTAGAAAGAAAATATTCATTACAACATTTCAATCTAATAAACAACGTAAATATATAAATTTATTACAACATTTTCGTAGCAAATGATGTAAAAACATATTTATTATAATGCATTTGTAAAATCATGGATTTATTAATATCAAGCATTGAAGAAACTTCTTTTTACAATGTTTCACGAATGTTTAAACATGTTCTTATTTAGAAAAATTTTAGCATAATAAAATGTTGTGTAAAAATATTATAACATTTTATGTTTGACATTGTGTGTGAACAATTTAGAGAGACTCTTGTGGGCTTGATTAAACTTCTTTAGTAAAATTTCTTTTTGCATACTTGCTACTAAGGAGTA